AGGGCTTCAAGATAAACAACTCAGAATCATGTACAATGAGGATATCTTCGAATGTACCTCTTCAGTAGCTTTCATTTCAAACAAGGAAACCTAAAATCGATCATATGTTTGTTATAGTTGATGCATGATGAACAATGAGACACTATGAACAGACAATCGATTTTACTAATACTGTAAATATATATGATCCATTGAGAAATGTTTTAAAAATATACATTTTCACAAATTATCTTGAATGAACGCTTGTGTTATTTTGTTGACAATCGTAGACACTAGTGATATGCTTTGATCAATATAGAGGATTACTTAATACAAAGAAGAGATTTACACTAGGTCAAAAAAAACGTCAAAAACCCAATTTTCCATTTCATTTCAATATTATTGTCATGTTGATGATTATAAACACTTTCGTTCAAATGCCTAACTTATTTGAAAAGATCAAGTTAAACTTTAATAATGATACTTATTAAAAGAACAATTTACTTCATCAGGCTGTCAGTCAGTTATAACGTACAACTACGTACGTAAATACATAAGTTCAGGTTGACACACTGTATTAGCACAGAGACGCCAACGTCAGTTCAAATCTCGTCGTGCTGGAGATAGTAGAATAATTAGCGGTAATGGAGAAGAATAGGGAGTGAAGATATGATTCGAGAAGTATAATTCAGTAGGATAACTTTAGAAAGGGAAAGATAGATGTGATGAGGAATTCAGTAGCTTAGAATTTGACGGAACACAAAGAGTGGATGCACTTGCGCCATTACAAACGATCTTGAGCCACGTCATTCAGGGTCTCTAACCATTGGTGGCATTCGTCTCGCAAACCCCAACCAGGTAGCCTACGTCTACAAACATGACTCAGTTCACTTGTAAGTGACTTCATGGATGTGTGCCATGTTTTGGTTTGGCCGCGCCTAGCTTTCTTCCAACCTACTCAGACACTACAAAACATCGCTCGTCCAGACAGTCGGCAAGCTTTCATGAATTTCTCAAAAAAAAAATATCGAAAACAATATATACATATCCAAAATGATTAGTGGCTTATATTTAACATCCATCGGAAAAAAAATGCAAGAAAGTGTAAATCATCATATTGAACAATGAAGCCATCGATAAATATATATAGATATATATATATGTATATGCATGTCACATTTTTGTACTGGTCATTTCAATAAAAACAACAAAACAAAACAGAATACATTCATTTAGAGGTTGAGATGCAGCTACTACTACTACAACTACTCATGGTCGACAACGACTTGTGAAACGAGGATATAGGCAAACATCTCGTATATGATCTTTGCCTAAAAGCCAAGTACAAAATCGTTCAAAGCCTAGTCCATAGCCACCATGTGGACAAGTTCCAAATTTGCGCTGAGAAATTTTTTTTGAATAAAAAAAAAGAAAAAAGAACAATGTACAAACAAACCGCACATACAACCAATTCTGCATACATTGTAAATATTTAAAATGATTACATTTTCAACATTACTGTGAAGGAAGTGTTTAGCTGTGATATAGTTAATTGTATTACGTAGTTGTGAAGATTGTGAAGTGAAGTGGTCGAAGTTAGACATTAACACAGTTAGATACCGGCTCAGTGGTCCAGAGGTTAGGCGTTCGCGCACAAGACCAAAGGTCCTGGGTCCGAGTCGTGGATGCGCACTGCTGAAGAGTCCTGAACTCGGACGAAACGGCCGTTCAGGTTTCTAATGGTAGTCTAACATTGATCGATTCATGATTTCAAACAGAGTTCGAATTAACATAAGAAAGTAATAACTAAGTTTGAAAAAGACACAGAACGCGGTACGACCACCACATAGATGAATCGCAGAACTAATCACATATTAACTGATAATATTAGATAGATTCGAGAAATTGGTAATACTAATTTGGATAGACTGATTGAGACTTATGGTTGTTACAATTTAAAAGGGCAAACGAAATCCTCTTGTGATACTCATAAAAAGCCATAAAAGGAATCAATTCGACTACAATAGTTCAGAAGTGTTGTTTCTCATAATTATTCGATACTTCAAAATATATTTAGGGTATAGTGAACCCGTGAAAGTTATAGAAATATTTGGCCTGACATTTAACGGTCTTGATTGACAACACAACACCTATGCCCTATCATGATTGTACATCTTGACCCTGAGATGGCATTCAACCATGCCGACCATATACGTACCATTAAGATTGTAATGGTGACTAGCGTGAACAATGGATCCAAGAAAAAAAATTAAGGATTAATCACGATTACTTAACGTGAAATACACTGAAATGTCAAATCGTTGACAAATATAAAAATGGGTGTACATCAAAGGCATTATTTTGAAAAATTACCTGATCTGTATACCAATAATATGGGGTTGGATCTATTTCTTCGGATTGATATCCTTTGAGTAAATCGTCAATATTATCCATACGCATTGATCCACCGACTAATTCACCAACACCTGGGACAAGTAGATCAACCTGCAAAAAAAAAAATCAACGAAAATCAGAATGTTGTTGAGACTATAATGAAACCGACAGATGTAACTTATTCAAGATAATTATTCTTTAAACAGTGTGTACACTATACACGATCACTGAAGATAATTAATTTGATAGTGTCTGACAGCAGTTCGCCGAAATAATATCATAAATTGACTGTTTGTGGAACTATGCATTGTACTTACTTACTTACTTACACCTGTTACCCTCAATGGAGCATAGGCCCCACACCAGTTTTCTCCAACCAACTCTGTCCTGGGCTTCCCTCTCCAGTTCTGTCCAATTTTTGTTCATTCCTCTCATATCTTTCTCTATTTCTCGACGTAATGTGTTCCTTGGCCTTCCTCTTTTCCTTTTGCCTTCAGGGTTCCATGTAAGGGCTTGTCTCGTGACGCAGTTAGGTGCTTTTCGTAGTGTGTGTCCTATCCACTTCCACCACTTCTTCCTGATTTCCTCTTCCACTGGAATCTCGTTTGTTTTCTCCCACAGTTCGTTGTTGCTGATCGTGTCTGGCCAACGAATCCGAAGTATTTTGCTTTGACAACAGTTCATAAATACTTGAATCTTCTGCATGATGGCTTTGGTAGTTCACCAAGTTTCCGCTCCATACAGTAGAACTGTGTCTTCACATTTGTATTGAAAATGCTGATTTTGGTTTTGGTTGAAAGTTGTTTGGAGTTCCAGATATTTTTCAATTGTAGAAATGCAGCCCTCGCTTTGCCAATCCGCGCCCTCACATCTGCATTGTTGGACATTCTAACTCTATGATCTGAAGGTATAGTGCTCACAGGTAGATGTGGTGGTTCCGAGTTCAATTTCGTATGGATGTAAAGATCTGTATACGGAGATGAAACAATTGTTTGATGCTCTCTAGTTTTCTACAATAGATGTCCGTTTATAACGTAAAACTATCAATTAGCTATGTATATTCATAAAAAGAATAACCAATGGCGTTTTATCTTTAAACGCCTACAACTTTAAATAAAATGAGGCTAACAGTGGAATCCAGGACGCTAATTTCGTTCTATTTGAAATTCGTCAACTGGACGCACCAGCATCTAGAGTTTATATTCACTACGAGAGGCGAACCCAATCCCATTTACTTCAAATGATATCACGTTATCCATTTAGCTATTGGGTCCAAATAGCCACTTACTTGTTCAATGGGTATGAGATTTAATTCCATTTGAAATAGTTTGAATTATTGCGTTGCTGATACTTTGAATGAGATTTGATCAATCTTTAATGGTATATGGCCCTCCTATACGGATAGCCTTTACATAGCCAACAAAGACTGATCAAATTTCAAACAAATTATCAACAACGAGATAATCCAAGCTATTTCAAATGGAATTAAGCTTATCACACTGATTTAGCTTTGACCATGGTGCTACCTGCCTCTAGTTGATTAACAATCGATCAGAGTTGTACTGCTCCTCATACAAGTTGACTGATTATTATCCAGACTAAATTTGCTCTGTTATATTTTCCTAAATATGTTCTATTATCTACCTTCCTTTCCGACCATATTGTAAAAGTTTAGTGTACAGATCTATTGAATTTATTTTTTCAGCCAAAAATGTTCACACTAAAGATAGATTTTGCAAAAACAAAACTAAACAAAGGCTATTATAGTCTTAAATAAGTTATTGTCAACTCAATTTAACACAATAATCATTGAAATATGAAAAAAACATATATGGCTTAATCTAAAGTAGACTGAATAAGCAAAAGGGTTTTTGAAATGCCAAAGAAAACTACTTACCGAATCAGTTAGACGTTGATCACCTTTCGTTCGTAACATATAGAAAGCTTTTAATCCAGCAGGAAAATTAGTTAATAGAACTGGTTCGCCAATTGTATCTACAAGTCGACGTTCCGGAGCTTCAGGAATATCATCACCAAATTGAAAAGGTGTAAGATCTTCTTTTGTAATGCCTAAATCATTTAACTGAACAATTGCATCTTCGTATTTCAGTCGTTTAAAAGGACTTTTAGGTATTTTGAATTGCTAAAATTTAAAAAAATCAACCAAAATTTAAAAAAAATGTCTATCCAATCATAGTGAATATAAATGTACGCTGTGTACAGCTAAAAAGATTATTGGTACTGTACATACAACAGTTCACATTTCTGAATTCAGTCATTTTATAATTCTGAAGGCAGAACTATTGAATAATCTAGACGTTACGCTCATATCATGAGGTCGATATGATTATGGTGGGTTTTCATTTTTAGTTAGGTCGTGGTTATGTACTGCTAAAATTGACATTTTAGTTAGTGTCATAAGAAAAAACTTTTGTAAATAGCCAACAGTAACGTTTCTAATCATAATCATACAAAAAAAGGGGATAATTTTGAATTAATCACAAAGGAAAGAATGATAATGTTCTGGAATATTTGCTAACGAGTTATGGATATTGGAAAAACTAATTTGTACTAATTTAAGAATGCAGCAATAAACTCATCAACTCAACCAAGTTTACACTAATACTAGTCTATACCGGCTGATTGTATAATTAAACGATGGAGTAAGTAGTCTGAAAGTGATACATGTAGTAGGGTGTTATTAAGAACACTTTTTTCATTAATTTTTCTATTGACCTCAGTTTGAACGCCATTGAGAATCAACGAACATTGGATAGCTTTTTTAATCGAGTATGGGACCCTTCACAAGTCGGGACTCATGGCCCTACTAAGGATTGAAGCTAGGACCTTCAGGTATCGCGCAGAAAGCCTAACCCTCAAGAACATTGGGTAGGTGTGTCCAGTGGTACAATTCCAATACCACTCAGTTTGGGAGCACAGCGCGACAATTATCTAAAATTATTATTAACGACTGTTTTACTCCGAAATTATCCGAACTCTGACAGTCATCAATGATCGGACTATTATTGTTTAGTTGGGAGGGGGGGGAGATTGGTGTAATTTGTAAGTTGTATTCGTCAGCCAATGATGTAAACTACCTTCGAAATAAACAGACAGACAGACATATACAACGCAGAACTTCGTACATAAGTACATCAGTTCAGGTTGACATACCACATCAGCACAGAGACGCAACTGTCAGTTCAAATCCAAGAGTGATAGCAATAATAGAAGTATTAACCGTAATGGAGAAGATTAGGGTTCCAAGATAAATTTAGAAGGAGAAACATACAGATTATGAGGAATTCAGAAGGTTAGAATTAGAAAGAACACAAAGAGTGGATGCACCTGCGCCATTGCAAACGTTTCTGAGCCATGTTGTTCAAAGTCTCTAACCATCGGTTACTATCGTCTCGAGAACCCCAACCAGGTAGCATACATCTACCAACATGACTTAGCACAAATGCATGAAGTTACAGACAGGTTGACTGTGTTTTGGTTTGGCCGCTCCTAGCTTTCTTCCAACCTACTCCTAAACCACAAAACATAGCTCGTCGCGGCAGTCAGTGGTTGGGCATTCGTAATACATGTCCCAACCACCTCAACTGACGAAGTTTCACCACTTCATCTATTGGTTTGCCATCCCTACCTAGAACTCGTTTTCTAACGACAACATTGCTTATACGGTTGTCCCAGGAAACACGAGCAATGCTTCGGAGACATCGATGATCGAAGACTAGTAACCTAAGAAACAATCTGTATAAATATCTCGTTTTAATATTAAAAAGTGAACAAACAAACGATGACAAAAAAAATGATTATGACCAATATATGAATTACTACTATCAGTGTTATTATGAATAAAACTAACTGGGTTCACATCTAACAGCAGATCACCGGATTGTTTCATTATGCGATCACAAACATCAACAACTAGATCTTCAATTCGTTCTAATAAACCATTCAAATCGATAAATGGACATTCTGCTTCGACGTGATTATATTCAGATAAATGGCGCCGAGTTCTACTCTGAAAACACGGGGAGAAAATCGAATTAGCAGTAAACTTACAATGAAACTATAGATACATGTAGTAATACCTTTGAATCAAACATAAAGTAAAAATGAGACGGACGCAAAGTGTCAGTACCTGCAATGAACAACGAGTAGTACATACTTTGAAATCATTGAGAGCGATTGTGTGAAACGAAATGATAGCAGCTGGACATCTTCTATGAAGCACAAAACAGAGGTTTACAATTGCAGCTGTCGCAGTTTATAGTACTGCTTAATAAACATTACGAATGACTTAGCGTTTCGAGAATGTGCGAGCAGATACACGCAGAAACTAGTGGAGACAGGAAATGAAAACGATGGTTCCAAAACTAACAACCGATGTGGAGTTTACCATCGAAGAAGACGAAAGAGTTCCACAGTGGTCACAAAAGCTTAATTAAATCATGTAAATGGATTGATTGTTTTATTTGGTGATGTTTGGTTATTTCCATTTGACATTATAACAAAGTATGTTGATGCCTGACAACTCCTGTTACTCTTTGTGGAGCATGATCGCCAACCAGCATTCTTCCACCTACTCTGTCCTAGGCTTTCATTTTCAATTGTTGCCAAGTTTTATCCACTCTTTTCATGTCTGACTCTAATTCTCAGCGCAGTGTGTTCCTTGGTCCACCACTTTTCCTTTGGCACTGAGGGTTCTAAATGAAGGCTTGCCTCGTGACGCAATTAGCCGCTTTTCACAATATATGCCTTACCCGCCTCCAGTGCTTTTTCCTAATTTCTTGTTCGGCTGGAATATGGAATGTTCTCTCCCATGGTAGGTTGCTGCTGATGGTGTCTGACTAGCGGATCGTCAGTATCTTGCATAGACAACTGTTTATAAACACTTGTATCATCCGGATGATGCCTTTCGTAGTTCTCCAAGTCTCAGCTATATATAATAGAACAGTTTTGACATTGATAATGAAAATCCTGACTTTGGTGTTGGTTGACAGTTGTTTTGAGTCGCAGATGTTCTTCAATTGTAGAAATGCTGCTCTTGCTTTACCTATCCACTCCTTCACAACTGCATCAGATCCATCTTGCTCATCAATGATGCCGCCCAGATATGTAGATGTCTCCATACTTTCCAAAGCTTCTCCGTTAAGTGTGATTTAGTTGGTGCATGTTGTATTGCATCCGAGGATTTTGCTTTTTCCCTTGTGAGACGAGAGTATAAACGTTTCTTGCCATCACGTTTGTGTTAAAACAAATATTATTTCAAGCTTTTTAAAAAGGGTATTAGCGTTTAGTAGCTGCCAAGAGAAACATTATACAGGTTTGATCAACTCAGCGTTATTATAAACAACCGAAACGAGTAGAGACAGGTAGTTATGGTCTGTGATAAAGTGTGTTGAAGATTAGACGGGGATTACTTAGAATATGTATGGAATACCGTTAACTTAAAGCTATCAGTAGGCGTGATTTATTCCCTTTTCCTGGGATAGATAGATATAGGTAAACAAAACGTTAGCAGCTTGACAAACTTCATTACTTTGAGAGATATTTTTTTAGTACAAACCAAACCAGACCTGTAACAGCAAACGAAATTATAAACTCTGAGAAAAGGGAACAACCTAACAATTTTCGAATCGGAATCTAGACCACCACTAAAATTAGCGGTAAAACAGGAAAAGAAGATTGCTGGTAAAAAAAAAAGACTTACTTTCTCAGCTCGATAGCTACGGGTGATGCAGAAGCAGTCACCTACAGCAGGTATACATGTTTCTAAATACAGCTGAGATGACTGAGACATGAATGCAGTCTCACCAAAGTAATTCAAAGAAAATAGTGTAGAACCACCTTCAACTTGAGTTTGAACAAATGTTGGCGGTAAAACCTAGAGGCGAATGAGAGGAAGAAAGTACTCAGGAAAGTTTATTTCGAACAAACCAATAAATAAGGTATTTGAAACGGCAATCTACTTAAGTACAAGACCAGGTCCTTGAAAGGAGCGGGTTCGGTCTGAAAAGCTTGGAGGTAACAATCGTGACTATACTGCCGAATGACGTAAATGAGAATCACCAAAGAAGGGTAGGATTACTTAAGGCTGTACTGTATATTAAAGAACAGTACGGATGAAAATTTTGTAGAATAAAGTACTTGAAACTAGTAAGAAGAATATGATTGATTGGATTGTAGATATTTCCAGTATTGTTTTGACGGTCGATAACATATCAAACTGTAATTGATCTTGCAATAATAGTGACTGTTAATGATCCATTAGTCTTGACAACATTTTAAGTAAGAGCACATAGAATATAGGTGACAATACTGTTTGACAGTTTTACTGATTAGATAAATATCGAGAAAAAACAATGCACACTACTGTTCTTTCGAAAGCACTGCAAAAGAAGCCAAATGCAATGATAATTTGAGAAAAACCTTAAAATCACAAAGCAAGTTGCTTTGCTGACAGGAAACCAGTGCAATCAAGAAGATTGACGGAAATGTTACGCATAACAACGTAATTAGATACAACCACTGTGATATGTAGTACTTATGGCAGAGTTTATAAGTAGTATTCAGTGGATGTACAGTGGTGCCACTCTAAAATTACAACCAAAGAGAGAAGTCTCGGATACGGAGCGAATTGGGTGTTTTGGGAAATAGAAGTGTAGAAGAAAACAGCTAAGAATACGCTTGTTTTGCGAATGGATGTTTTACGTTAAATCGTACACTTTTTGGCTAATAGATTGTGTTTTCAAATAAACTGTTTTAACTTATCTGGGCTTCCGTTTCCGTTCATTTCAACACCATCATCATTAATCCATACTTAAGGATTACAAAGTTACTTTAATACAACAACCACAACAACTTTGCTTGATGATACACCAAACAGGAAGGAAACCTACACTATAGACAAATTGTATGAAAGTGACATACCTTTCATAGTATTAGATGTATTCAGAACTAGAAAACCTAAGCAGTCAGTCAGTTGCAACGTAGAACTTCGTACGTATGTACATAAGTTCATGCTGCCATACCACATTAGCACAAAGACGCAGATGTCAAATCAAATCCCATAGTGATAAAGGTAGTAGAGGTATAAATGGTAATGAAGAAGAATAAGGTTTGAAGATATTATTCAAGAAGTATGATTCAGTGAAATAAGGTTAGAAAGACAAAGGTAGAGGTGCTGATGAATCCAGAAGATTAGGATTTGAGAGAGATCAAAGAATGGATGCACTTGCGCCATTGCAAACGATTTTGAGCCATGTCGTCCAAGGTTTCTAACCATTGGTGACTTTCCTCTCGCGGACCCCAACCAGGTGCCTACATCTACCAACATCACTCAGTCCACTTGTCAGTGACTTCATGAATTTCTGCCATGTTTTGGTCTGGCCGCCTCTAGCTTTCTTCCAACCTACTTCTACACCACAAAACATAGCTCGTCGAGGCAGTCGGTGGTTAGGCATACGTAACACGTCCCAACCACCTCAACTGATGAAGTTTCATTACTTGATCTATTAATCTGCCATCCTTACCTAGTACTCGTTTCCTAACGACAGCATTACTTACTCGGTTGTCCCGCGATACACAAGCCATGCTTCTAAGACATCTATGATCGAAAACTAGTAACCTACGAACATCTACTCTTAACGGCCATGTTTCACAGCCATATAGGAGAAAACCTAATCACCAATGCAATACTCTGGTTTGTGCATTTTCACTATCATTCAGATGGATATGAGATTCACAAATTCACAGTTGATTTATTCCGATATGAAGCACCAGAAGATTATGATAATATCAGTAATTCACTTTCTGTTCGTGAAATCCAGATAAATTTACACTTAATAAGATTAAACAGAGTCGGAGACTTGAATTGTTGGATTTCGACTCAGTAGTCTAAAATGTTACACGAGATCTGAATATTGCGGTTGGGCACAATGATGCGACGTAAACGGTTTACAAAAACTAATCTTTATATATATATATCAAACGATTAGTAGGTGAAAGTATACAAAATAAACGAGATTACTGTTGTGACAAAACTAACCTCAACATAACCACGATCTATGTAATGTGCACGAAAAGCTGCCAAAGCAACACTGATTAGTCTGAGCACTTTCGCTGTCTAAAATGAAAATGAAACTTCAAAGTCAGTCAGTCAGTCAGTCAGATGCAACGCAGAACTTTGTACATAAGTACATCAGTTCATGTTGCCATACATAAGTAAAATATCAAAATTTTTTCAATGAAAATAATTGACATTAAACAAAAAACAAACAGATATATTCACATTTGTAGTGTTTTTCATACAATTCGCGAGTTTGAAATATCATCCCCTTACTATTCATCGGGTCTCTACAGTGATATATATATATTTATTTATATGAAATCGCTCCCAATTTAATTGTCACTATTTTCTATGTGTTAATGTATAGTGTGATAACTTGCATTGATAATGCATACACTGCTTAACAGTTGATTGACTTTTTGGAAGTAATTAAAATGTAAAAAATATTTTTATAGAAAAAGTGTGCCGTGGGGCTAGTAAATAGTGGAATCCTGTTTTGAAATAATGTGTTTAAGAATTCCTAACTAAGGTATAGTTGGTTCTCTTAGAAAATCTAAGCATGCTTAATGATTATGTATGCACAAAAAAAGTTGAATATCACTTACATTCTCGCCTCGAATAACTAAATGTCTATTGTCCAATTGAGTGTCTATATCACTTTCTACAGTTAGCACAGAGTCAACACCACCAGATGGTGCTTTACCAATTACTGACCAATAATCAGCAATCAATTCAATACCACCAATGGCTGATTTACCAGCTGGCAATTGTTTTACCACTCCATAAACTTCAATGGTAGACTCTGGTGATAGTGTGATTGCATCTTGAGTTAGACACTGAATAAGAAGAAGAGGAAGAAGAACGTAGTAGTAAAAAGAAATGCAAAAACAATTGAATTGAAGGTAGTTGAATTTAAAAAAAAAAATAGATTAACAAGTCATGAGTTAATAATTAACAATACTACTAAGTTAAGCAATCTATGAATCAAACTATGTTTGAAATCAAAAGTTGAAATCCAGTCTTTGTAAGCTAGTTGCTGAAAATTAAGAAGGCTAATGACATGCTCATACCAACAACAAATAGATAAATATTATAGAATAATTTAGTGAACCAATTAGAAATGACCGAATGAGAAGGCTATTTGATGACCATTGGAAAATGTTCTAAAAGACAAATACATATCAATAGTCAAGAAATGGCTTCCAAGGTGGAATCAGCACATATCTGTCTGTGCACAGATTTCGCGACCCACACATCATAACATACAGTAGACAGCATTGATGTCACACACTTTAAATGTATTTACAAGACAACTGTTCACAGTGAACAATGTCAATAGTTTGAAGATAATGCATCATCGACTTTGATCCTTGACTGACCGTAAAAACATTAAGTTTAAAGCCGCTGTAATAAATTATTCTTTTATGCAATTTATCAGGAAGCTACAACTGTCGGTGATGCCGGACTTCGTCAAAGAGGTATTGATTAGCATTACTTTTTACAACAACAAATGCAAGAGAAAACAACCAGTGTAGCAGCAGCAGGTCTCAACATATATAAAAGGGAAAGTAAGATTCTACGATACAACACAACATGCGCCAACCAAATCACTCTTGATGGAGATTCTTTGAAGGACGTTATCACCTTTACACATCTTCGCAGCATCATTGACAACCAAGATGTAGATGTCAAGGCACGGATCGGCAAAGCAAGGATTGCATTTCTACAATTGAACAACATCTGGAACTCAAAACAACTAGCAACAAACACCAAAATCAGGATTTTCGATACAAATGTCAAGACAGAGTTCTATTACATGGAGCAGAAACTTGGAGAACTACCAAAGCCATCATCCAGAAGATTTAAGTATTCGTTAACAGTTGTCCACGCAAAATACTTCAGATCCGTTGGCCAGAAACCATCAGCAACAATCTACTGTGGGAGAGAACAAACCAAATTCCAGACGAGAAAGGAATTAGGAAAAAGCGTTGTAAGTGGATAGGACACACACTGCAGAAAGCATCAAACTGCTTAAACACATTGAATGAAATGCTTTAAAATTGATTGCAGTAGTGTAAATGTATCCGCAAATGTCTTATTTCTCAACTTGATTCACTCAAAGAAACAAAAAAAAACGTCTATCACTATACAAAACTTACCAGGTCATTTGAAAAAACACACTGCACAAATCCAGTACCATCACGAAGTATAATAAACATTAAAGTTTTACTCTGACGACGTATTCGATGCACCCAACCATATACATGAACACGTTTATCGCATAAACCTTGTAAAGCACGAACTTTACATTCTACTTTAGATAATTCAGTGTTTAAAGTCAGTTGAACATCCATTGCTTTGCTAAGATCACCATTTTCAGCTGATGGCTAGGAAAAGAAATGTAACAAATATAATCTAATAAGAACGGAAAAAATTACGTAGACGGTAATTTATTTACACTGTACGAGGTTGTGTCCTTGACTTTGAGCTATACAATGTCAGTGAAGTTTATCGATTTTGCTCAGCTATTCAAATTAAAGTAGGCCGAGGTGGATTCGAACCCTTACTTACTTACTTACTTACGCCTGTTACTCCCAATGGAGCATAGGCCACCGCCCACCAGTTTTCTCCAACCAACTCTGACCTGGGCTTCTCTCTCCAGTTCTGTCCAATGTTTGTTCATTCCTCTCATATCTTTCTCTATTTCTCGACGTAATGTGTTCCTTAGCCTTCCTCTTTTCCTTTTGCCTTGAGGGTTCCATGTGAGGGCTTGTCTCGTGACGCAGTTAGGTGCTTTCCGCAATGTGTGTCCTATCCACTTCCACTACTTCCTGATTTCCTCCTCCACTGGAATCTGGTTTGTTCTCTCCCAAAGTACGTTGTTGCTGATGGTGTCTGGCCAACGAATACGAAGTATTTTGCGTAGACAACTGTTAATAAACACTTGTATCTTCTGGATGATGGCTTTGGTAGTTCTCTATGTTTCCGCTCCATACAGTAGAACTGTCTTCACATTTGTATTGAAAATCCTGAAAGTTGTTTGGAGTTGCAGATATTTTTCAACTGTAGAAATGCAGCCCTTGCTTTGCCAATCCACGCCCTCACATCTGCATCGGATCCACCTTTCTCGTCGATGATGCTGCCCAGATATGTAAAGGTGTTAACGTCCTCCAAGGCATCTCCATCAAGAGTGATTTGATTGGTGCATGTTGTGTTGCATCGGAGAATTTTGCTTTTTCCTTTATGTATGTTGAGACCTACTGCTGAAGCTGCTGCTACACTGGTCGTCTTCTCTTGCATTTGTTGATGCGTGTGAGATAGAACAGCCAGGTCATCCACGAAGTCCAGCTGCGTCCTAACTGTCTAGTTGATACCGTGCTTCGCTCCAGACGTCGACGTCTTCATAATCCAGTCGATCACCAGGAGAAAGAGAAAGGGTGAGTGTAAGCAACCTTGCTTGATACCGGTCTTCACCTCAAAGGAGTCTGTTAGCTGTCCTTCGTGTACGATTTTGCAGTTGAATCCATCATAAGAATCCCGTATGATGTTAACTATTTTCTCAGGCACCCCGTAGTGTCGAAGAAGAGTCCACAGTGTTTTCCTATCCACGCTATCGAATGCTTTCGAACACATTATCTACTAAATAAAAGTTGTAATTCAACCGAAAAATTACACTTGGAAGTGCACAAAACATTAAAGGACAGCTTTCACTACTAACTTAATGTTGGTTTATTGTAAGTGATTAAATCGAGTTTGGATACGATATAAAATGAATAATACATATATATATTGTGGTCTTTCTACATGGCAATTAGATGAATATTAAAAAATGGTGGGACAATATGAGAAATAGTAGTGAAGGTTCAGTTAAAAATATCTTCTATGATTTTTCTAAACATCTTTGTAATTTAGATGTGCTATTTTATTGTTTAATTTTTACGTGACTAATCTATCAAAGTTAATATAATAAGCTTTAATGCAACTCATTTTTAGGTACTGACTACCACTTGTGTGCTAGGACCAAAGAAGGTGGGACAGGGTTTGAAGTCACAACCTACTAAGTGAAAGTCAAACAATTTAATCACTAAGTCAGCTCTTCACGAAAAGATCATTAACTACAGTCGAACCACATTATTTGCTATGGTCGCTGCGCATAAACAAAACATTTTAGTGATGAGACTGTGCTTGTAGGAGATAGGTTTCCAGTTAACCTATCAGTGAATAATATTGAATCACGCTAAAAAAATATATATATTTTGTGTAGGATAGGATTGATACTATCAGGATGGGCAAAGAATAAACGAAAGTTTTACATGGGGTCCCATAGATATGGTTGCAAAGTGTGCCAACAGTTTGATGATCCCTACAGACTATGAACTTTGCACCAAGTTACCGAAGTGATATGCTCAATGTAAGCATCTAGTAAGGTCTTTGTTGTCAATATTTGTTTCTTTATACCCACAAATAATAGTCATTATTTTGCTACTGTAGGTGCGGTACCTAAACTCGTGAGAACAAAGGAGTTTGAACAGCTGTGAGTTGTAGTCACTAAAATGGTGTACACAATTATTTACATACTAATTGTATTTACTTTAAATATGCAGACAAAAGAAATTTAGAGAAATGTAATAGTTGTATGTTAGATATGACAATAACTGGAGACCGAAGAACACACTGAGTTGCGTGTAAACAACAGGTTAGACTTACTTTTATCTGTGGCACCTTTTCATGTTTTCTTTCTTGAATATGATATTGTTTCATTATCTTTTTTAATTTAGATTTAGATACGACATCCCACATTTCGTCCCCAGCACCATCAACCCAGATATGTGTATCTGCTTCAATTTTTCCATCTAACTTGATGATAGCCTGAAGAACCGTTTTCAGAGGAGCTTTTTCTGTTCCATCTCCGGTTGTATCTGAACCGCGCTTTTCAGAAGTATATATCTGCATAGTGATATCTGTCCAGTTGAAGTCTAGTAGACACAGAATGAAAGCATTGATAACAACGTTTACGAATTACTCGATGAACAGTGTATGGTGAAAAAATAATGTTAGCCATAACACGTATTACCATAAAATATTCCATCTGATTAAATGTAACAAATTATGGGATGATGTAAACAGGAAAGCTCTTGGAGAAAAAAACGATACCCAGAAGTCATTACACAGTTTTCTATTTCAGCCTACCCCTGAGCTATTACAAATGGTTTTAGTCTATACTGAGCCTTGTTGTGTCTTTATCCGAACTAGAACGACCGAAAGACATCACCAACGTAATTTAGATCAGCCTAATAACCACACGAAATGGGTTTAAAAAAAACGGTAATGTTACCCCTTTTCTAATTTATGATTAATCAAGCATTTGTTTTGGAAGGACAAAAAACCGTTGTAGAATCCCACTTTATGTTCCGGGAGTTCAGTGTCAGTCACGTATACCGAGGTTGAGTATCTACATTTACTACTGAAAATGCACCTGAAATTTGTTTAGCTTAGGTATCTGTTAACTTCAACTACTAGTTTGTAGGACTGGGTATTAAACAACAGGCTCAGCTGGTGAACAGCGGTGTAACAGCAGATATATGTCCTGGTTGCCATATCATGAGCCACCAGAAATCAATGAACAAAGCAAAAGAATAGAAACTATGAGAGCATACCAGTATCTCTACACAAAGTACAAACAAATGAGACATATAGCTTTGTAGCATATGCACGTGTATCACAAGGCTAGAATAATAGTTAGAGAACCACTGAAAATCAGGAAGCTGTTCTGCTTTAACATGAACACCCCCAGCCCCACCAGAGACAGGGTTCGAAATCTTAATCTTCAGATCACCAAGTTTGTCCAATTTAACATTCTTACGAATAGAATTTGCAGCGGCTACAATCCTGCTAGCGTAAACGAAACCACCTATGGGACGCAAATAGGCAATGATTTTTATCTAGCTTGAAGATAATCCGTATAGTGAGGGAGTGCGCAAGGAGTCGTTCAAGGCTCTATACACGTGTGAAGGATTTTAAGGTCGGAAACAGTAAAGACATTAGATGAACTTACATTCAGTAGGCAATATTATCAGATAATAGTAGCAGTAACACAAATGTGACGTTTAAACAATTCGATGGTCAACAGTAGAACCTTGTCGTCAGATTTCGGAATGAAAGCTGTTCACTTCTAAACTCAACCGCGCTTTTATTTACACGACCTTGGAGGGCCCGACTAGACAGCGGTCGTTCCGAATTTGATATGCTTAAGGACGGTTTCAAGTGTGTAGGTTTGTCGGATCTCAGGTTTTAAGATATGAATATAATCTTTTGAAATCTTGCGACCACATCAAATGTATTTTCTTCTTTTTAGTAAAAATCGTGACTGATGCTTGTTAATATTCCGAGTCAACCATGGAGCTACATTCAATTTAGAAAGGACTGGATGCTAGGTAGCCAATATTAGTCTTATCAATGTTGGTCGCTCAGTTGATCCAAATTATTTCTGGTAGATGGTGCCTTAACCACTTGTCGAGATAACGAAAATGAACTTTTTGTTTTGTCAGTTCTCGTTTTAGGAAGCCAAGAAAAGTGAGAGTGTATCAGGTGCAACTCTGTCTCTAAAGTAATTTGAGATTTGATTGAGTCACCCTTGTTCCTTCAGCATGATAAAGGAAGTAAGTTTAATTTAACTTGCCTCTTCCTGAATACAGGAACTTAGTGATTCAGAGAATTATCTGAATAGCAGTTCTTTGAAATTTCTCCAGCAGCCCACCTATTTTGGGCTGCTTGTATACAATATTCAAGTTAACGGCAAAAATACTGTATTTAGAGTCAAAAGTATTTCAGCATGTACCTGGCTAAAAGCTATACGTACTGTTTTCCTGGACCTAAAAGCTGCATTTGACTCTGTTGATCGTGAGGTTCTGTGGCAGTGTCTGTCATTGAAAGGTGTACCAAAGAAGTACATTAACCTCATACAAGCTCTCTACTCGAATACCACTGGTCGAGTGCGAGCTTATGGCTAACTGTCATCGGAATTCTCTACATCAAGTGGTGTCCGTCAGAGATGTCCACTTTCTCCATTCTTGTTTAATTTTATCATAGATATGCTCCTAGAAATAACCTTATCCTCGTCTGAATTTTCAGGAGTAGACCATCTACCATTTGGCTCGCTTATTGACTTAGAATATGCCGATGACATTGTCCGACTTGGTGAAGACGATGACAAAATGCAGAGTCTTCTGACTACCCTAAGCAACAATGCAAGCATGTTCGGGATGCGGTTTTCTCCCTCGAAATGCAAAATGTTGCTTCAAGATTGGGTTACATCGGCACCTGAACTACTGATAGGTAGTGAAGTAGTCAAGAGTGTTGACCGCTTCACTTATCTTGGGAGTCTCATCAGTGCCGATGGCCTAGTGACTGACGAAATCTCAGTGCGGATACAGAAGGCTCGATTGGCTTTTGCCAACTCGCGTCACTTATGGCGTAGGCGTGATATCCGTTCGCTAACCAAAGGACGGGTGTACTGTGCAGCATTTCGCTCTTACTTAATGGCCGTGAAACATGGCCAGTAAGAGTAGAAGACATTCGTCGGTTATTGGTTTTCGATCATAGGTGTCTTCGAAGCATTGCTCGTATACCGTGGGACAACCGAGTAAGCAATGCTTTCGTTAGGAAACGAGTACTAGGCAAGGATGGCAGATCAATCGATGAAGTGGTGAAACTTCATCAGTTGAGGTGGTTGGGACATGTGTTGCGTATGCCCATTCACTCGAAGAGCTTTGTTTTGTAGTTTTGGAATAGGTTGGAAGAAAGGTAGGGGCGGCCAAATCAAAACATGGCAGAAATCCATGACGTCATTGACGAGTGGACTCAGCCATTTCGGTAATTGTCGACTACCTGGTTGGGGTCCGCGAGATTATAATAATCGATGGTTAGAGATCTTGAATGACATGGCTCAAAATCGTTTGCAATGGCGCCGGTGCATTTATTCTTTGTGTCCTCTCAAATCCTAATCTTCTGTATTCTTCAACACCTCTAGTTTTGACTTTCTAAACTTTTCTCACTGAATCATACTTCTTGAATAATATCTTCTAATCCTAACCTCTCCTATTACTTCTAATACCTTTACTACCTCTTCTACTATTGGATTTGAATTGACAGTTAAATCTCTGTGCTGATGTGGTATGGCGACTTGAACTGATGTACTTATGTACGAAGTTTTACGTTGCATCTGACTGACTGACTGACTATATGTACTGACCACAGGGTTATGAAGCTTCAGTGGCGATGGCGTTGCGGTTGACTATGATTACTTCTACATACTAATTACGAGCCCGTCACAGAGAAGATAAGTTAATTCATTCAAAAGAATATATTCGCTGGAGATCTTGTGGTACCGAAATCGTGCCAGAAAAGAGAGGCGAAATGACAGAGAGAATGGAACCAAAATGGCAGCAACAAAAGGGAAATTTTGCGCGTACAGAGTGTTATAAACAAAGAGGTTCAGTAAAACAATCACTGGTATGCCAGGCTATAATAATGAGTGTTTATATGAAACCAATTGCGTTCTCTTCATAAAAGTGGATTCACTACAACACCTCTGGCAGCTATCACACTACAGTTTAGATGTTTCCAAGACTTGGCTACTGAAGACTCATCATGTGTTTGGACAGCGGTTAGCTCAGTGTTTGCTATTTTTGCATACACACTTTGGTGACCAATATGTACCATGATGCATTCGGAAACGTTTATTTGCAGCTGCATAATTCTGGCCAATTCTGATAAATTCTATAGGTTATTTCTAAGCTGTAGATTATCATCTCCGTTACTTATCTCTCTCTATATCTGGTAACTTGCGTATATGTTTTACTGATCTCTAGGTATGCTTAAAACCAATATGGGTTCACCTTAGTCGAAATACGAGCGTTAGTTATTTCCATAATTATTTGTAGTTATGCTACAACTATCCAATCAAACTAGTTTAAGCGTTCACCATGTGATCTGATCTGACGTGCCTGTGAAATATCTTGGTTGTAAATGACCTATTAATTGAAAGACAATATTATCCTTTTATATGGATGTGACTCATAGTTTTATTCATTTCCATTGGACACGCTATATTGGTCGGTATGTTTGCTCGTTTCACTTGGCAACTGCAATTTCTTTATTCACTGTACTAATCTAATTGCTATTATCTTTAGAATCAGATAAAGTTTGAAACTAAATTGTTCTTTTTTAAACTACTGCATTCCAATAGACTCTGTGCTCGCCAGTATTGCGTTTACAGTTCTAGAAGTAGATCCGTAGGACAAATTAAATGCTACGACGAGAACAAAACAATGATCAAGCGTCCAGGTAGGCTACTACGATCCCTCGACCCGATCGTACCAGCAAGAAGTCTTGATATAGTGTACAACGTGTACTTACAAATACCCAGCCAGCACACTATAAATGCAAGCACTGAAATTGCGTTTATTTATACTCTATAGAGTTGTCCTCGAGATAGTAAAAAAAAATAGCATACTAAAATTACACAGTAACCAATCACAGCCAAGGATTTTCCTAGGGGGGAGGGGTGATTTCAAGGTCAACTTATCGTTCCATGAAATAAGTCCGAAGTAAAGATATTTATCAAACGAGTTCTGGGGATCTAACATCCCCAACACTCCTCCCCTTTTTAATAGCGTGTGCTCCTAGGGTCGACTTGCATCTTGACTGTCGTTCGGGAACGGAGATCAGATTACGGCTGAGTTTCTTCTCGTCGGTGAGGGTCTGATTGTAGGTTGAATGTATCAAGTAGGAAGTCAAGGGAAGTCTTTCTGCTCTTGATGGACAATCTGGCGCTAGCTGTTTGCGTATCTGGTTTCAATGGCGTGATCACTTACCACCTCCTGCCTCTACTTCGTACATAACGCGCTCAACTCTTCCACAGGACTACGATTCGTTCTGTAGTCGCGGGCAAACACAGGGCATCCCACTTCGTAAGCGGGTTGTCTTTGCGGCTTTGTCTCCACTGATGTTGATGCATTAGTCGGATGCATTGGGCTGAGGATCGTTTTCAGTCATCTTACAATATGGATTTCCTCTGGAGACTTTTGCTACGGTAACAACTCATTTGGTGTTGTCCAATTGACGTGCAAGAAATTTCGCAACGCGTCGGCTGGTGTCCCGTCGCATTTTGACTTAACCAATGCTCCTTTAAACGTATCCACAAACCTTTCCGCTTGCCCATTCGATTGCGGGTGGTATGGTGGCGAGCGTAAGTGTTTAATGGCTAGACGTTGACAGAAAGTTTGGAATTAGGAAGAGGTAAATTGAGAGCCATTGTCAGATACGATCACATCTGGTATGTCATTTCGAGAGAAAATTTCAGTGAGGAGCCGTATTGTCTTAGTTTTAGTGGGCGACATAACGGGGCAGATTTCTGGCCATTTTGAGAAGGCGTCGACGACAATTCAATACATAGTTCCATTGATTGGACCAGCAAAGTCGACATGTATCCTGGACCAAGGATGCTCAGGTTTGGGCCACGAAACCGGCAGAATTTCGGCATTCATCTTTGCCGCCTGCTGACACCGTATGCATTTTCCAACCAACGCTAAGACATGTTGATCCATGAAGGGCCAGAATGCATAACTCTTGGCTATGGACTTCATTCGTTTAACCCCAGGATGACCGAGATGGAACTTTTTGAGCACTTTCGCTCGAAAAGATTCTGGCAACACTACTCCTTCATCAAACATCAAACAATCGTTCACGATGCATAGTGGATCCCACCGCTGATACAGTTGTTTCATGTCACCATCAAACTTTTTCGACGGCCAACCGTTAGTGACATATTTCATCATCATCTTGATGGTGAGGTCGTTTCTAGAAGCATTTTGTATGTCTGTTGCAGACACCGGTAATGCGCGAACTGCGGTTGTCAGATAACATTCTGCGTGGTCTTCTACTGACAGAGATGCGATTACCATGTTTTCCTCAGCCGCTTCTTGATCATTTATGAGTCGTGACAAAGTGTCTCCCTGACCGAATTGTAGAGTGCGTCGATATTGGATTTCGAAATCATACCCCAAAAACACCAAGGCTCATCCCTGAAGACGATTTGCAGAATGGGCTGGAATGCCAGACTTTGAACCAAATATTGCTAGCAAAGGCTTGTGATCTGTGAGGAGCGTGAATCTCCGACCGTACAGAATCTTGTGGAAACGGCAAACAGCAAACATAAGTGCAAGAGC